CACCAAGAGGCTGTGGGGATATAGATTTACACTGCAGGGCTAAACATGCCTTTATAAACCATTACAGGGCCAGGGAACCAAATACAGACCAAATATAAGATGATAAGATGCAGATGGTGTTATCACCTTCAGATTGCAAGCATCGTTACATACAACTGGAGAAAGCACAGTTTGAAAGTGAAGGTCACGGGGCGTCCCGGGTGTCTCAGTGGTAAAGAATCTGCTTCCCAATGAAGGAGACATGGGTTCGATCCCTGGCCTGGGAAGATCACACATCCTAACAACTCAGCCCGTGTGCCACAACTGTTCAGCCTGAGCTCCAGAGCCTGGGAGTTGCAACTACAGAGTCCACATGATGCAACTACTGAAGTCTGAGTGTCCTGGAGCCTCTGCTTTGCAGCCAGGGAAGTCACTGCAATGAGAAGCCCATTACCGCAACTAGAGAGTAAACCCCGCACGCCACAGCTACAGAAAAGCCGGCGCAGCAACAAGGAGCCAGCACAGCCAAAAATAACTAACTAAATAATTTTTTTAAAAAAGAAAGTGAAGGTCAGGACTTCCCTGGTGGTCCAGGAGTTAAGACTCTGCGATTCTACTGCAGGGGATGTGGGTTCCATTCCTGGTTGGGGAACTAAGATCCCATATGCCGTGTGGTGTAGCCAAAAAAAAAGAAAGAAAGGAAAGGGAAAGTCAAGAGTTTTAGCAGAAACTTAAGAAACAAGTTTCATGGAGTTTTATGAAAAAATAAAATAACATGAAACCTCCTAGGAAATGAACTGTAAGAGGAAATTGACTACAGTGAGGTAAAACTTAAGCCATGTGGTGGAAGGGCTGGACGCACAATGAGCCAAAGATCTTAAAGAATTGGGGAAAAAATGGTGTTGAGACAAATCCACATTATTTTCCCTGATGCGGCAAGAGCAGGGAGGGGGGAGCTTTATGATAATTGATTGAACACTCACTCTGTTGGGGAAAAATGAAACAAAAAGAAACAAGTTTTAAGAAAAGAAATGCTCACAAGGACTAAAAATGAACTGACCCTCAACAAGGAGCCCTGTGCCCAGGTGTTCCAAACTCAGCATCTGAGCATTCGACACAGGCCCAGGGGGTCCTCTGCATTAACAGAACCCTGAAGCTTAATGCGGGCTTCCCAGGCGGCACCACCTCCCAATGCAGGAGACATGAGACTTGGGTTCGATCCCTGGGTTGGGAAGATCCGCTGGGGGAGTTCATGGTAACCCACTCCGGTATTCTTGCCTGGAGCATCCCTATGGACAGAGGAACCTGGCAGGCTATGGTCCACAGGGTTGTAAAGAGTCGGACACGACTGAGTGACTTAGCACGTACGCGTGCAGGAAGCTTAATGCATAACCTTCTGCAGTTCTCACTGGTGAAGGGGGGTGTGCCGGTACTGGCCCATTTTACAGATTCGGAATTGAATGCTCAGAGAGCCGTAAGTAACTCTGAGGCCATGTGGCTGGTGCGGATCCATAGACCTTCCCACTCATGACCGCCACTCTGCTGTCTTCCATGGTTTCTGTTAGCCTATCAGCCCTTTCGGGTGACCTTGACCCCGGGAGCCTTCTGCAGGGCTCTGCAAGGTCTGCATTCAGACCTTCCTCTGAACGTTGCAGTGTTAGCAAATACTGAAGGAGTGACTCTAACAAGCCTGTGGGCAGGTCCTGCCTCCACACTCCAGAAAGAGAGCAAGCCCATGAAGAGAGACAGCCCGCGAATGAGCACGCTCCTCGGGCTCTGGCACCATGCCAGTCAAGAGGAGCAGGTGCCCTGACGAGCAGATGGGGCCCCACCGAGGGGATAGGTAACAAACTTCCACATCGGGCCCCTGACTCTGGGCTAGCACAGATGCCCCACTTTCTCAGAAGGCTTTAAGAGAGGACCCCGAGAATCTTCCTTTCTCTCAGGTCTGCCTGTCCCAAAGTAATCCCCAGGGACTCACTAGCACTGTCCTGTGACCTTTGGGCTCATCTGGATATCTAGAATGCTGTTAAATTTACCCCCAAGCACAGCTGCCGGAGGAGCCCAGTGATAAGCAACCACGCTTTAGGCTGGGCTCTTCCTTCTCAGATAAGATCTCATCTGAGATAAGGGATTAGAGAAAGACTTGGGGTCAGTGGGGAGGGCTGGGTCTGCCCCTGGGTCTGGAGGAGAGGTCTCCAGACCCCTTGATGTGCTTCCTTCCCTCTGAGGCCTCGGTTTCCCCAAGTGAGAGGAAGCAAGAATGCGAAACTGATGACATCCGCACCCCTTTTCATTTTAAAGTCCTTCGACCTGAGATTGTCATACTGAGTGGAGTCAGAGAAAGTCAAGTATAATATCACTTATATGCGGAATCTAAGAAATGAACCTCTTTACAAAACAGAAGTACAGCCACAGATGTAGAAAACAAACATTGTGACCAGGGGGAGAAAGCGGGGAGGAATCAACTGGGAGATTGGGATTGACATATACGCACTATAATATATAAAATAAACAACTAATAAGGACCTACTGTATGGCACAGGAAACTCAGTACTCTGTAATGGCCTATATGGGGATAGAATATAAGAAAGAGTGGCTAAGCGGGGAAGGATGGGATTGGGGAGATAGGGAGTTTGAGATTGACAAATACATACCACTATATTTAAAATGGATGACCAAGAAGGAACTCTGCTCAATGCTATGTGGCAGCCTGGATGGAAGGGGAGCTTGGGGGAGAATGGATACCTATATATGTATGCTGAGTCCCTTCGCTGTCCACTGAAACCATCACATTATTAATTGGCTATGTTGCTGCTGCTGTTTAGCTGTTAAGTGTCTGATTCTTCTGCAACTTCATAGACTATAGCTCGCCTGGCTCCTCTGTCCGTGGGATTTCTCAGGCAAGAGTACTCGAGTGGGTTGCCATTTCCTTCTCCAGGGGATCTTCCAGACTCAGGGACTGAACTTGCATCTCCTGCCTTAACAGGCAGATTCTTTACCATTGAGCCATCAGTTCAGTTCAGTTCAGTCGCTTAGTCATGTCCGACTCTTTGCGACCCCATGCACTGCAGCATGCCAGGCCTCCCTGTCCATTACCAACTCCTGGAGTTTATGCAAACTCATGTCCATTGAGTCGGTGATGCCATCCAACCATCTCATCCTCTGCCGTCCCCTTCTCCTCCCACCTTCAATCTTTCCCAGCATCAGGGTCTTTTTAAATGAGTCAGTTCTTTGCATCAGGTAGCCAACTATTGGAGTTTCGGTTTCAGCATCAGTCCTTCCAATGAATATTCAAGACTGATTTCCTTTAGGATGGACTAGTTGGATCTCCTTGGGAAGTCCCTAATCGGCTATACTCCAACACAACATAAAAAGTTAAAAAAAGAAAAAAAAGCAGCTAGATGTATTATGTATAACTGACTCACTTTGCTGTAAACACTGTAAATCACTACACTGTAAATCAACTATACTTTGATTCAAAAAATTAATTTAAAAAAGTCCTATGAGCACAGGCCTGGGCCACTTGAGCAGCAGCAGTAACAAATCATAGAGGTGTGTGGCCAGGGCTGCAGGTGTGGGCAGAGCAGAGGCCTCACTGTGTCCCCATTGGACAAGCTTGTGGATCCAGAGGGTGCCGAAATCCAGCCACTGGCCAAGGTGGATGGGAAGGACTCGTCCACCACCCCGCGGTCTTGGTCAGAACCAGAGGGATGGGAGACCAAGGACGCTGTAGGAAATTCCTCAGTGGGGAAGGAAATTTCTTCCCGTCCTCTCCCCCCCTCCGCCTTGAAAGAGGTCCACATGCAGCTTTGCTGTTTGTTTGTGCTACCTGCCTGGAGTTGTAAACACAGCCTACTAAGATAACAGAAGAGTGGGTTCCAAAATTTACCTCCTCTGGTTCATCTTTCAGAAAGAAATTTCTCCTTACAAGATGCAGTTGATTTGGAGCATTCTGGTTAATTTTAAAACAAACTGGTCTGGACACAAATGAACAAAACAAAAACATTTTGGAGAGAAACTGGCTTGCCCAACCCTCCCCTTTTTTGCATGGTCTACCCAAGCTTCATGGATTAAAAAGAAAAGGTGTTTAATAATTACCTTTGTTGACCTCTGTACCTTCTGGCTTACTCCTCTCCTGGGCATGAGACATGGCCATTCCTAGGACACAGCTGTGTGGAGGAAGGTGGTCAGACACCCAGGTGAGATCCCTGGGCTCCTCGAGGTCAAGGTGAAGGTAAGGCCATCGGTGATGGCAAGGCTGGCAGAGCCCCTGGCCGGGGACCCGAGAGGGACTTTATCTGGAAAAAGGGAACAGGAAATGACTACCAACTAGTTCAGCCTTGTACTGTTTTATTTTCTCATCAATGCTCTTTGCATCACTCAATGAAAAAATATCTGTACTGTAGATCTATTATGTGTGAGGGGCCTTAAATTTTGAAACTAATTTTGAGAAAAGCTTTCTTTCCTCAGACTTGACTCCATGAAGTAGATTCTAGAATGTTTTAAAATATTTCTTTTTTTTCATTTATTTTTATTAGTTGGAGGCTAATTACTTTACAATATTGTAGTGGGTTTTGTCATACAGTGACATGAATCAGCCATGGATTTACAAGTATTCCCCATCCCAATTCCCCCCTCCCACCTCCCTCTCTGCTAAAAGCTTTTGAAAAAATGAGCTTGGGCTGCAGAATGACTTTTAGGCATGTCACTGCTGAGATATAGGACCCAGAGGATGGGAGAGGAAGCGTGGGGGCGCTGGAGGAGTTTGGAAAAGAGCCTGGAAGCCCAGTTGCCCCAGGGTCTGAAGGACAGTCAGGATGTTGTTGGACCCGAGCAAATTATGCCTACGAAGTCAACAGCTGCACTTTCTCAACTGTAAAACTGTAGATAATTATCTGCTTGTGAAATCAGTGCTCACAACCCACAGCTGACTCTATTTGCATCTTGTCCGCTAGAGCATTTGCCGAGTGAACGCCCGTGGCCTCCTTGCAGCCTCCCAGAACTGGCAGGAGGGGAAAATGGAAGAGACGAGCCTGAGAAAAAGGAAGGGGGATGAGAAGTCGATCCAGAGCAGCGAACCCAAGACCATGAATCTCCAAAAGGAGGTAAGGCCATCCTTGGGGACAGGCCCTTCCCAGGTCCAATCAAGGTGGGTGTACGCAACCAAGTCATCCTCCCCCTCCACCACACACACACAGCACTTCTGATTAAACAATTTCTTGCACTCACACCCCCCTTCCTTCTTGCCAGTGAACTCAGCATATTCTTGTGAGGTTAATATGCATGTGCTTGTATGTGCTGGGTAAGCACCTAGAAGGCTGGTGTTTGCTCAGGCCAACAGTCTTTTCCTAGATAGTCAGAGACAACTTCGGATGTTGGATCCCTGCTACAGCACCTTCACCACATGTGTCCTCTTAAGTTTGAATTCCTCCGGCAGTAGGGAAATCCTATTTCTTCTTAGCCAGTAGCTGGGGTGGCGAGTCTGACATGGGAGTGACATAGGTGATCCCTCTGAGTTGGAATGTAGTAAGGGCTGAACCAGGGCTTCCCAAGTGGCGCTGGTGGTAAAGAACTCACCTGCCAACGCAGGAGACCTAAGAGTCACGGGTTCGATCCCTGGGTTGGGAAGATCCTCTGGAGGAGGGTATGGCAACCCACTCCAGTCTTCTTGCCTGGAGAATCCCCATGGACAGAGGAGCCTGGAGGGCTACAGTCCATGGGGCCACAAGAGTTGGACAGAACTGAAGCAACTTAGCACACACAAGGGCTGAACTTGGAGTTGCCTGCAGCCTCGAGAGGAGTCAGATGGGGGGTGTCACTGGACCTGTGAGGAGGGAGAGGTTTGGGGGTGTGGGGGAGTGAATGGACAAGCTTCAGGCTCAGAGGATGAGGAGCAAGGGCCCCCAGAGTGAGGTCAGGATGGAGTCAAGGGCAGGACGAGTGGGCCGGGCTCCGGGCAGAGCCTCCGGATCTCCCATGTCTGGCTGCCGAGGAGAGGAAGGAGGGACCAGGGGCTTGACAGGGGGAATCATGTGGCTTGACTGTGTGTCACCCTGGGATCTTGGGGCCCCAGGAATTGGCTGATGAGCAGCAATACTCTCCTTTTGGCCGTGAGAGAAGCATAGCCAAGCAAACCCTCTGCATGTCCTAAACTTGGGTAGGCAGCTTCAGGGTGAATGCAGAGCTCGGTAGAAGGTCCAAGGCATTGGTGAGTCAACCTGGGCCATCAGAGGAGGAAGTCTGAGGTGGCTATAGGAAACAGAAGCTGACACTTCTCTGGACCCCCATTCCTCCAATTGTATGTCCCTTGGGGGCTGGTCACAGCTGGGCTCCTCCGCGTTCTCTGAGTTGGAACCCTGAGTTAAGCCTGTGCCCAGAGAGACAGGCATATGTACGTTCAACTCAAGCTCCAGAAATCAGGCTGGTAGCTTCGGGGGCTGATGTTATAAGCAGGAACATGAAACAGACTGTTTTCTTCCTTAGAAATTTTTTCTTGATTCATGTAGGATTTACACAGAGTGAAATGCACAGACCTTCAGTGTTTAGTTTGATGAGTTTGACAAAGTGGTCACCCCAGAAACTTCCCTCTTGCCCCTTTCCAGGTGGCAACCCCCCCACCCCTCCATGTTCTATCTCTGCAGATTCGTTCTGCCTCTTGTGGAATTTCATGGGAATGGAATCATATGGGATGTGTCCGAGCCTGGTCTCATTGGTAGGAAGGTCATGTTCTACAAGAGGGCATCAGAGAAAGTTCACAACCCCTGAGTGCTTCTGTCCCTGGAGGCCTCGTCACTCACCCCTCACCCCCACGCCCCTGGCCAGGAGCCCCAAACCCTGACTTCACTCTTAGTTTGGGGGAGGAACTCCATGCCACTCGGCCCAGCTCAGAGGTAGGTCCTAAGGGCCTTTGTTGGTGAGTGACTGTCAAGTCAGGCTTTACCACCTGGGCCTCATTGTCAAGAGCAGTGAGAGCTGGTGCTTGGAAACTCAGCCGGCTCTGTGAACTGCATGGGCTGTGAACCCTGGGCAGTAGCTGGATCTTTCTGTTCCTCTGTTTTCTCCTCTGTAAATGGATATGATAATGGAATAACTGACTCATTGCTGTTGTGAGGGTTAACAGACTTAATCCACACAAGCACGGGGCTTTCCAGGTGGCACAGTGATAAGGAATCTGCCTGCCAGTGCAGGAGATGCAAGAGACTTGGGTTGGATCCCTGGGTAAGGAAGAACCCCGAGAGGGGGAAATGACAGCCCACTCCAGTATTCTTGCCTGGAGAATCCCATGGGAAGAGGAGCCTGGTGGAGTCGCAAGGTTTTGGGCATGACTGAGCATGTGTGCACACACAGGCACACACACAGATCCCCAGGGGCAGCACCCTGGTGCTCTCCTTCTAACAGCACAGGGTGAAGGTGCCTGGGACTCTGGGCTGCCTGGCTGTACCCAGCGTGGGAGGGGAGGATGATGGAAGGAAGAGGGCTGCGTCCGGCCTTCTGAGCTGCACCCTGCAGCGGCACTAACTCTTCTGTCCCCCGCTCTACAACCCAGCTGGGCCTGTTCAGTGGCACCTGCATCATCGTGGGCACCATCATTGGCTCTGGGATCTTCATCTCCCCCAAGTCTGTGCTCAGCAACATGGAAGCCGTGGGACCCTGTCTCATCATATGGACCATGTGTGGGGTTCTTGCGACACTGGGTAACAAAGATGCCCACCCTGGCGATGACCCCCTGTTGCATGTGGGGCAGGATGTTGGAGCTCTGTCTGTGCGGGGTCATGTCTCTGCCCAGATCCCCCTCAATGCTTGTGTGCAGATGTGTGTAAACTAGGGTTTATGAAATGTCCAATGGCTAGAGCTCAGGATGAGGGGCACGGTGGTGGGCCCTGGGAGCACACCCCCCAGTGGGAATAGCACACCCCTTGACCAGGGCAAGACCTCACAAGGGGCCTCGGGCCCCCTTTCTCTCTGTATTCCAGGCGCTCTGTGCTTCGCGGAGCTTGGCACGATGATCACCAAGTCGGGGGGCGAGTACCCCTACCTGATGGAGGCCTTTGGCCCCATTCCGGCCTACCTCTTTTCCTGGAGCAGCCTGTTCGTCATAAAGCCCTCATCCTTTGCCATCATCTGTCTCAGCTTCTCCGAGTACGTTTGTGCACCCTTCTACCCGGGCTGCAACCCTCCCCAAGCTGTCATTAAATTCCTGGCTGCCGCTGCCATCTGTGAGTACCTGTGAGGAACACCACGCAGGGGCAGAGACCTGGTACCGCTGGGGGCGGAGAAACTGGGCTTCTGCACACCCAGAAAGAGGCTGGGTGGGCCTGGAGGTGCTGGTAGGGAGCAGGGCCAGGTCTGGCCTTGGTCCCAAGCCTGATGGCCTTTGCCGTCCTGTCTCCGCTCTCCGGGGCCATCAGAGCCCCACAGGACAGCGCTTGGCTGGAGTCTGGCTGCCTCTCTATTGCTCTTAGAGGTGGGGGGCGGGGGTGGGGAGTGGACAGCCCTGGCTGGATTTCAAAGGTGCATGGATATGGCAGTGGAGAGGGGAGGCTGGGGGGGAACGAGGCCTGGGAATGGAAAGGAGACTCCTTCCAGGGCCTTAAGAAAGGAGGGAGATGTTGAGCCCTTAGACACAGAACAGTGCCCACCTCTGACTTCCCAGTGCTCATCTCCACGGTGAACGCGCTGAGTGTGCGGCTGGGGAGCTATGTCCAGAACGTGTTCACGGCGACCAAGATGGTGATCGTGGTCATCATCATCATCAGTGGACTTGTCCTCCTGGCCCAAGGTGACCTTCGGCTGGAGGGGAGGGTGGGGCCACACGCCACAGACCACCTGGAGGTCTTGCTGCTAAGCATACATTTCACGCAGGAACTCAACAGAAATAGTTTCCCAGTTGTTCAGAGTTTGTTTAATAACCTGAGGTCACTAGTCATCCGCTTCCTTCACACAGTTCCAGTCTAGTCAGCTGATAACTATCTGGTTTGATTACAGGAAATACGAAGAATTTTGAAAACTCTTTTGAAGGCACATCATTGTCTATGGGCTCCATCAGTCTGGCATTATATAATGGACTCTGGGCGTATGATGGATGGTAAGGCACTCAGTCTAAGACAGCACACGTCTGCCTGTGGCTTTCTTTAGGCTATCTTCCTGAAACCACATGGAAAGCAATGACTTCTCCTTTTGGGGGTTTGATGGGACTCTAATATATACCTTCACATCTCCCTTTTGTTAAGTACCCTACCCTTCACCCTTCTGTTCTCCTTGAACCCCAGAGGCACCTGCCCCTTTCCCAGCCGCTTACCTGGCACCAGACCTCGACACAGTGGCCCATGAGCCCCCACTGGTGGGGCCTCAGGCCAGAAACTTCACCAGACAAACACAGGCTCAGCTGGACTGGAAGCAATGAGGGCTGCCAGGCATGGGACAAGGCAAGACTGTTCGATAGCACTTTTCTTTCCACTTTGCAAATACATGCGGTCATCCAGGACACTGGCCTTTCCCTTGTGCAGAGAATCTGCAGGCTTCATTTGCTTTTCAGACAATGAATCTTGCATTTTTTTACAAAGCATGCTGGGGACTCATTACTCCCAATAATTGTTGAAAAGTTACAAAATTCCTACAGAGTACAGACTTACCAACTAAAGAATGTGCAGATCTTAGTAGCCCCACCACCACCAGGGCTTTCTTTAAAAGAGAAAGCCCTACAGGGGGAAAAAGATTCCTACAGGGGAATTTTCTCTATGATGTTGCTGTTGTACAATTGCTAAGTCATGTCTGACTCTTCGTGACCTCATGGACTGTAGCGCCCCAGGCTCCTCTGTCCTTCACTATATCCCAGAGTTTGCTTAAATTCATGTTCATTGAGTTAGTGATGTTACCTTACCATCTTATCCTCTGCCACCCTCTTCTCCTTTTGCCCTCAGTCTTTCCCAGCATCAGGGTCTTTTCCAATGAGTCCGCTCTTCCCATCAGGTGCCCAAAGTATTGGAGCTTCAGCTTCAGCATCAGTACTTCCAATGAATATTCAGGGTTGGTTTCCTTGCTGTCCAAGGGACAGTCAAAAGTTTTCTCCAGTACCACAGTTTGAAAATATCAATTCTTCAGCACTCAGTCTTCTTTATGGTCCAACTCTCATATCCATACATGACTACAGGAAAAACTAATAGTCTGCTTTGACTATACAGACCTTTGTCGGCAAAGCGATATCTCTGCTTTTTAATATGCTGTCTAGGTTTGTCATAGCTTTCCTTCCAAGGAGCAAGCATCTTTGAATTTCATGGCTGCAGTCACCATTCGCAGTGATTTTGGAGCCCAAGAAAATAAAATCTACACTGTTTCCACTTTTTCCCCTTCTATTTGCCATGAAGCGATGGACCAGATACCAAGATCTTAGTTTTTTGAATGTTGAGTTTCAAGTCAGTTTTTTCACTTTCCTCTTTCACCCTCATCAAGAGGCTCTTTAGTTCTTCACCTTCTGCCATTAGAGTTGTATCATTTGCATATCTGAGGTCATTGATATTTCTCCTGGCAATCTTGATTCCAGTTTATGATTCACCCAGCCTGGCATTTTGCATGATGTACTCTGCATATAAGTTAAATAAGCAGGGTGACAATATACCAAAGGAGATTAAACCAGTCAATCCTAAAGGAAATCAACCCTGAGAAAGGATGGATACTGATGCTGAAGTTTCAATACTCTGGCTACCTACAGTGAAGAGTGGACTCACTGGAAAAGACCCTGATGCTAGGAAAGATTGAGGGCAAGAGGAGAAAGGGGCAACAGAGGATGAGATGGTTGGATGTAATCACTGACTCAATGGACATGAGTTTGAGTAGACTCTAGGAGATAGTGAAGAACAGGGAAGCCTGATGTGCTGCAGTTCATGGGATTGCAAAGAATCAGACATAACTTAGTGACTGAACAACAACTATACAGTCTTGATGTACTCCCTTCCCAATTTTGAACCAGTCTGTTGTTCCATGTCTGGTTCTAATTGTTGCTTCTTGACCAATATATAGGTTTCTCAGGAGACAGGTAAGGTGGTCTGGTACTTCTGTTTCTTTAAGAATTTTCCACATTTTTTTTTTTTTGTGATCCATACAGTCAAAAGCTTTAGCATAGTCAATGAAGCAGAAATAGATGTTTTTTCTGGAATTTCCTTGCTTTCTCTTATGTTCCAGTAAATGTTGGCAATTTGATCCCTGGCAATTGCTAGCAATTGTTGGCAATTACTAGCTCAAACTAATACAGTTGCTAGTATGGTAGTTTGAACATTCTTTGACATTGCCCTTCTTTGGGATTGGAATGAAAACTGACCTTTTCCATTCCAGTGGCCACTGCTGAGTTTTCCCAATTTGCTGACCTATTGAATGCAGCACTTCAACAGTTTAAACGAGGCATACAGTTATTATTTTGTGTTTCATAATCTTAGCAAAAGTCAGTTATGTTACTCATGTTACTTTTTTTCCCGGTAGGAATCAGCTCAACTACATCACAGAAGAACTTAGAAACCCTTCCAGGTAAGAAAGCTGAGTCAGAGCAGGAGACAGCGGACAGGTCAGCAAGCTTCTCTCCCCCAAACATAAGGTGGAACTTCTTCCCCTAATCACCCACCACCCACTTCCAGACAGTGGATGGTTTCCTATCAGCTCACTGACATTCGTCAGACCTTGGTTTTGTTTGAGGTAGTAGAATGGTTGCTAAGAGGAAGGAAGAACTCTAATTTATTTTGCATTATGACCAAATTCAGTTTTACTGCCCTGGAGTCTAAGGAGAGGGAGAGTTCTTTCTCATTAGAAAATGTCAATGTCCCCACTGGGACTCTGCTGTCCCTCTAGCCCCCTGCTTCTTGGTGAGCATAAGGAAGCCTCGGGCAGGGCAGTTCCCCAGGGAGCAGGTAGAGGGCCAGCCGGGCAGGTGGAAAAAGGACTAGACTAACACAACGATCTTGTGAGTCTGTCCTGGATGCCCTGGTCTGACTGGCTCTCTGGGTCCCCGCCCCTCCCAGAAACCTGCCCCTGGCCATCATCATCGGGATCTCACTGGTGACAGGCTGCTACATCCTCATGAACGTGTCCTACTTCACTGTGATGACCGCCACGGAGCTCCTGCACTCCCAGGCTGTGGCCGTGGTGAGTGCCCGGGTCTCTGGGGGAGCCGACAGGCAAGGGATAAACGCTCAAGCTGAAGGACCCTGTGTGTGTAGCCGGGGTGGAATAATCGTCTAGGACGCCAGACACGGGGAGATGGGTTAGGGCAGCCCCCGAGACCCGACCTACATTGCAGGTGGCCAGCAGCTGGGAGGTCCCGCCTTCCCAGCACACCCTATCTGCCTTGCCAACACAGGGCGCAGGGCTCCACTTCACCAGGGTTGGGACTTTGACAGGCAAGTGTGGGGGAGAGCAAGATCAGGGGAGTCACTGAAGGAGGGAGGGATAATAACGGATTGTGGAATTCATCTGGGTGAGGAGGGAAGCAAGGACAGGGGGATGGGGATGACGGACAGGGGAAAGGTGGGCGGTCCATGTGCTGGAGAAGACCTGCGGAGTTGGGGCAGGACAGGAAATGAAGCTGAAAACAGGCAGTGAGGTGACATGGACAGGGGGCGGAGAGAGGCAGGCTTGGTGACCGGCCCACTGACCGTGAGACCAGGTCATTCCGAGGAAGGCAGAGCTAGGGCGTCTGAGGATGTGGAAACACCGAGAATTATGGCAGGCAGCAGGGGAGAAGAGCTCTCCATCACCATCCGCAGAGGTGGGGTGCGGGGTGGGCGGCAGTCTTTTTCTTCAGACTGGTGCCCCACCGTTCCTCAGGGAGGCGTCCTGGAACCCAGCTCAGTGAGGCCCCTGGGAGGGCTCAGCAGCCTGTGGGGCCGGTGGCTCTTGGGGGCGCACGGTCTCAAGACGCACCCACTTCTCCCTCAGACGTTTGGTGACCGTGTCCTCTACCCCGCCTCGTGGATCGTTCCGCTCTTCGTGGCGTTTTCAACCATCGGCGCTGCTAACGGGTCATGCTTCACTGCGGGCAGGTAGGGCCCGGCACCTACTCTGGGGTGGAGCGCGCGCACGCACGCGGGGCGGCGCCGGGGCCAGGCCCGAGTCCCCAGTGATGGAGCGGAAAGCATACCCGGGGCGGGAGGGGGCACGTGGCGCTGGTCCCAGGGGTCCAGAGCGAGTGGGGACAGGGCCACCCGCCCCAGCGCAAGGCAGGGCTTGGCGACCCGGCTGAGCGAGGTTTACTTATGGGACTTTTCACGGAATGAGCCTTCTTGAACATCTTTTCATGTTAACACACACACAGTCCAGATCAGGAATTGGTAAACTAAAGGGTAGATAGTGAAGAGTTTAGGCTTGCAGGCCATGTAAACCCATCCTGCTCTGTCTTTGCAGTAGGAAAGCCAACGGCTGTGTCTATGGTCCAGGAAAACTTTATTTACATAACCAGGCACTTGGCCAGTCCCTGCCGGGCCTCTGGCCCCTACCTGGTCTAGAGACAGTTAGCTATGTTGGAATCCTCTTGACCAATGTAGCATAATTTCACATTACCTTCACTCATGGGCTGGGTTGGGGAGGTTTTCACAGACATTGGCAGGGAACATTCTGAGCATGTCTTTGTTTATCTCTCCAGCATTCTGGGCGGTATAGTCCTGAGAGTGAAATTGCCAAAGGTTATATACGTATACACTTTAAAAAATGAAATCTATACCACAAAATCATTCCTTAGTGCTAGTCCTTTAAGACTTCTTCAAAAGTGTCTTGGTTGTTCTAGGTTCTATGCACTTCTATCCAAATTTTAGAATTACCCTACCAATTTCTACAAAAAAGCCTTAGGGACTTTGATTAGAACTTTACTGAATCTATAGTTCAATTTGGAGAGGACTGCCAGCTTCAAAGTACTGATTCTTCTAATTTATGGGCATGGATTTATATCCCCATTTATTTAGGTCTTTTTTTTTTTTTGGAGTGGCAGTTTTCAGTATATAATTCTTACACATATTTTGTCAGATTTACCCTGAAATATTTCACATTTCTTCATTCTATTATAAATGGTATTTTTTAAAATGCAAAAAATTTCAGTTTCTGATTAGTCTGTTTCAGGTCCAACTCTTTTCTTTTGTTGTTCAGTCACTAAGTTGTGTCCAACTCTTTGCAATCCCGTGGACTGCAGCACCTCAGGCTCCCCTGTCCTTCACCATCTCCTGGAATTTACTCAAATTTATGCCCACTGAGTCGATGATGCCATCCAACCATCTCATCCTCTGCCACCCCCTTCTCCTTTTGCCTTCAATCTTTCCTGGCATCAGGGTCCTTTTGAATGAGTCATCTCTTCACATCAGGTGGCCAAAGTATTGGAGCTTCAGCTTCAGTCCTTCCAATGAATATTCAGGGTTGATTTCCTTTAGGATTGACTGGTTTGATCCCTTTGCAGTCCAGTGAACTCGCAAGAGTCTTCTCCAACACAGTTCAAAAACATCAGTTCTTCAGTGTTCAGCCACCTTTGTGGGCCAACATGTACATGACACTGGAAAAACTGTAGCTCTGACTATATGGACCTTTGTCAGAAAAGTGATGTCTGCTTTTTAATATGCTGTCTAGGTTTGTCATAGCTTTCCTTCCAAGGAGCAAGCATCTTTTAATTTCATAGCTTCCCTAGTGACTCAGTGGTAAAGAATTGCCTGCAGTGCAGGAGACCCAAGTTCAATCCCTGGATCAGAAAGATCCCCTGGAGAAGGGAATGGCTACCCACTCTAGTATTCTTGCCTGGAGAATTCCACAGACAGAGGAGCCTAGTGGGCTATAGTCTATGGGGTCACAAGGAGTTGGACACGACTGAGCAACTAACAGACGCACATACAGTATTTCTATTTTTAGTTTTTTGAGGAAACTTCATACTGTTTTCCACAGTGGTTGCACCAATTTGCATTTCCAGCAACAGTTTACAAGGGTTCCCTTTCCTCCACATGCCTGCCAACATTTGTTATTTATGGTCTTTTTGATGATAGCCATTCTGACAGATATGAGGTGATATCTCATTGTGGTTTTGATTTGATTTGCAATTCTCTGATGACTAGTGATATTAAGCATCATTTTATGTGTCTGTTGGCCATCTTTGTATTTTTCATAAAAATATTCAGTTCTCCTGCCCATTTTTAATTGATTGTTTTTATGATATTGAGTTGTATAAGCTATATATAGTTGGGATATTAACCCCTTATTGGCCATATCATTTGCAAATATTTTCTCCCATTCAGTGGGTTGTCTTTTTGTCAGTGGATTCCTTTGCTGTGCAAAAGCTTTTAAAGTTAGTTAGTTCCCATTCATTTATTTGTGCTTTTATTTCCTTTTCTTTAGGGGACAGATCCAAAAAGATATTGCTACAATTCATGTCAGAGAGTATCCTGCCTATGTTTTCTTCTAGTTTTGTGGTTTTGGGTCTTATATGTAGGTCTTTAATCCACTTTGAGTCTATTTTTGAATATGATATGACCAAATGTTCTAATTTCGTTCTTTTGCATGTAGCTGTCCAGTTTTCCCGGCACCACTAGTTGAGGAGACTGTCTTTTCACCATTGCATTATTTTTGCCTCCTTTGTTGTAGATTAGTTGACCACAAGTATGTGGATTTGTTTCTGGGCTCTCTGTTCTGGTCCATTGATCTGTGTGTTTGTGTCTGTTTTTCTGCCAGTACCTTACTGTTTTGATAACTGTAGCTTTGTAGTCTAAAGTCAGGGAGTGTGATATTTCCAGCTCTATTCTTCTTTTTAAAGATGTTTTGGTTATTTGGTGCCTTTTGTGTTTCCATACAAAATTTAAAATGATTTGTTCTAGTTCTGTGAAAAATGCCTTTGGCATTTTGATAGGGATTGCACTGAATCTGTACATTGCCTTGGGTAGTATGGTCATTTTAACAATGGTATATATTTCCATCTGTTAATGTTACATTCAGTTTCTTCCATCTATGTGCTATAGTTTTCTGAGAATATAGGTCTTCTATTAAACTTCCTTAGGTAAGTTTATCCCTAGGTTTGTTTTTCTTTACATAATTGTAAATGCTGCTGTTTCCTTAACTTCTCTGACACTTGTCAGTGTATAAAAATGCAACAAATTTCTGTATATTAATTTTGTGCATGCATGCTAAACCACTTTAGTCATGTCTGACTCTGTGTGACCCTATGGACTGCAACCCACTAGGCTCCCCTGTCCATGGATTCTCCAAGTAAGAATACTGGAGTGGGTTGACATTTCCTTAAATTCTCTGACGGTTATTAGTATTTGGAAATGCAACAGTTTTCTGTATATTAATTTTGTACCCTGTAACTTTACCAAATTCATTGATGAGCTCTAGTAGTTTTTTTTTTTTGTAGTGTATTTAGGATTTTCTCTGTATAGGATTGTGTTGTCTGCAGAGACTGACAGTTTTACTTCTTCCTTTCCAGTTTGGATTCCTTGTATTTTCTTTCTTTCTTTTTTTTTGGTTTGAGTATGTCACTCAGACTTCCAGTACTATGTTGAATAAAAGTGGCAAGATCGGGCATCCTTGTCTTGTTCCTGATCTTAGACGAAATGTTTTCAGCTTTTTATCATTGAGTATAACATTAGCTGTGGGCTTATCATATATGGCCTTTAGTATGTTATGTTCCCTCTATACCCACTGGAGAGTTTTTGTCATAAGTGAATACCGAATTTTGTCAAAAGCTTTTCTGCATCTCTTGAGATAATCATGTGATTTTTATTCTTCAATTTGTTAATGTGATGTATTCCACTGATTGACCTATAGATACTGAACAATCCTTGCATCCCTGGGAAAAATCTCACCACTTGATCATGGTGTATGATATTTTTAAACATTTGCTGAATTCAGTTTGCTTATATTTTCAGGATTTTTGCATCTATTTTCTTTTTTAAAATTATGTATTTATTAATTTCCATGATTTTATAAAATAGTTTTTCCCCCTTTGGTCATTTGAAACTATTTTTATCTTTTTAATTTTTTTTCATTTATTTTTATTAATTGAAAGCTAATTACTATACAATATTGTAGTGGTTTTTGCCATACATTGACATGAATCAGCCATGGATTTACATGTGTTCCCCAGCCCGATCCCCCCTCCCACCTCCCTCCCCATCCCATCCCTCTGGGTCTTCCCAGTGCACCAGCCCTGAGCACTTGTCTCATGCATCCAGTCTGGGCTGGTGATCTGTTTCACCCTTGATAGTATACTTGTTTCAATGCTATTCTCTCAGAGCATCCCACCCTCGCCTTCTCCCACAGAGTCCAAAAGTCTGTTCTGTACATCTGTGTCTCTTTTTCTGTTTTGCATATAGGGTTATCGTTACCATCTTTTTAACTTCCATATATATGCGTTAGTATACTGTATTGGTCTTTATCTTTCTGGCTTACTTCACTCTGTATCATGGGCTCCAGTTTCATCCATCTCATTAGAACTGATTCAAATGAATTCTTTTTAATGGCTGAGTAATATTCCATTGTGTATTTTGCATCTATTTTCAACAGTTATATTGGCCTGTAATTTTCTTTTTTGTGTGGTATCTTTGTCTGGTTTTGGCATAAAGGTAATGCTGGTCTCACAGAATGAGTTCAGAAGCATTTCCTCTGCATTTTTTGGAATTGTTTGAGAACAATAGGTGTTATCTTTTCTCTACATATTTGGTAGAATTCACCTGTGAAGCCATCTGGACCCAGACTTTTCTTTTTTGGGAGTTTTCAAATTGCTGACTCAATTTCACTACTGGGAATTGGTCTATTCATATTTTCTGTTTCTTCCTGATTCAGTTTTGAGAAATTACATTTCTAGGAATTTGTTGATTTCTAATTGGTTGACCATTTTATTGGCATATCATTGTTCACAGTAATCTCTTGTGACCCTTTGTATATCTATGGTTTTGCTTATAACTTTCCCCTTTTCAGTTCTGATGATATTGATTTGGGCCCTCTTTTTTCCTTGATGTTTCTTGATTTTATTTTTCAGAGTCAGCTTTTAGTTTCATTGATCTTTTCTATTTTCTAT